TACATCCAAATATGTCACAATGGCACCGAAAAAGTCAGATCTCCTACTTAATGCATCGCCAACAACGGTTATACTTTCCTTTGACTGGCCTCAGTTCAAAATCAAACTGATCAAACTCCCCAGCCCACCTAGTCAGTTTAGGTGTCATGCGGGCTTGGGTTTTAAGCCAGTTAAGCATCTCATGATCCAAGTAAACTTTAGAGTGGCGTCCTAGCAGATAGTGTCACCAGTGATTCAGTGCTTCCCTCAGAGAGAACAGCTCTCTCTCATAGGTAGAGGCGTCGACCTTTTCGCTAGGTAGTCTACAGGACATGAATTCCACAAGTCTGCACCCATTCCCATCGTCTTGCTGGAGTACAGCACCAATCCCGTATTGACTGGCGTCAGTGATTACGATAAAGGGTAAAGATGGATCCACAACTTTCAACACCGGATAATTAATCAAACATTTCTTTAAACGCTTGAAGGATGCAGTACAATCCTGATCCCATTTCCGATAGTTTATTTCTTTAACAGTCTACGCAATCGGGCAGCGATTACCATAAAGTTCCGAGCGAACTTGCGGTAAGAGTTGGCCAGACCAAGAAACGAGCGCAGTTTTGTCAACGTGCGCGGGTTAGGCCAATCTCTAATGGCTGCAATCTTAGCGTCTTCCGGTTTAATCCCATCACCGTCTACCATATGTCCCAAGTAAAGGACCTGACGCTTTGCCCACTCACACTTCTTCGGGTTAATCTTAAATTTCGCCTCTCGCACTTTATTAAACACAACTCGAAGGTGCTCATGCTCTTTCAGACTCTTACTAGAGATCAATATATCATCTAGATAAACAACGACAAACTTGTCGAGGCAATCACGAAACAACTCATTCATACATCTCTGGAAGGTTGCAGGGGCATTAGTCAAACCAAACGGCATCAACGCAAACTCATAGTGGCCATATCTTGTTCGAAAAACTGTTTTGTGCTGATCTTCGGGCTCAATCTGATGGTAACCCGACTTCAGATCAATCTTGGAGAAATTGCAACCCTGAACTCTATCCAGGAGATCAGATATCCGTGGTAGTGGCTCAACATTCTTAACTGTTATCGCGTCGAGTCCCCTATAGTCTATGCACATTCCTAGTTCATCGCCCTTCTTTGGCACAAACAGGACTCGTGCACCAACTGGTGAGGAACTTGGCTTAATCCACCCCTTCTCAAGCAACTTGTCTAATTATTTTCGTAGCGCATCAAGCTCCTTTGGAGACATCCTATAGATAAAGCCCTTGGGCATACGGCTACCGGGTTCCAACTCTATCCGATGCTTGGTTTCTCTCTCCACCACTCCACTTGGGGCCTCTGCAACATCAGCAAACTCGACATGCAACTTGTGCACATTGGGGGGTATCGGCTCTTCCTTTTTCTTTTCTTCACTCACCAGGCACACATATACAACAAACACTTGGTCGGCAAGGTCGTTCTTGACCACATGCCAGGCGAACGTGGGGGCACTCATGCAACAAAGGGATAGGCTATTCTCTACGCCAGATGCATGGTAAAGTCGATTTTTTTTCTTTCCACCTGTACGACTAGGCAAACAACAATCACGCTCACCAAGTTTCACATCTCCATTGGCGGCCTCACACCAATCCGTACCTAGAATCATGTCAAAAGGGAGATTGTCCTTCACTAAGAGTGTCAAGGAGTGCAGAACACATTTCACCTTTCCCCCTGCCTCCAACCGGAAGATACCCTAACCCCTTCAACATAGCTATCAACCACCATTTCCCTATTGTCCGCTAACTTACTTACGATGGGTTGTTCTAGCTTTTGAACCTTAAGCCCTAACCGCAGCTTTTGCAGACCCTTCTTACTGATATAGCTGCGTGTTGACCCACTGTCCACTAGTGCGCCAACCCTGACTCCTATGACCTCTACATCTGCAATTATTAATTGCCCTTTCTTTTTCTTCATTTCGGCCCAAGCGTGCCGACGAGTGACCACTGTTTTCTTCTAACCCATAGTCTATCTGGTCATAGGTAAGTAACTCCATTCTCCTCCTTCGAAGGTGACCAGTAAATTAAATCCTGGTATATTCCCTGAGATTCTCCGGTCTTTCCATTTCTTGCCGGCCTGCAGGTCTTTCCAATAATGGCAATACTGCGCCTCTTGCAAAGAACCAGTGTGATCTATAGCGATCTTGATAAACTTCTCGTACGTCATTCCTTTTTCTTTAGTGTGGGGATACAGTTGTGTTTTCAAGGGGTCAGGGAGTGCTCTACCGAAGTTGTTTAGCATCTGCGCCGGTGTTAATCCGTGATCCGAGCACTGCAATAGTTCATCCATTGTGGCCTTGAGTTCAGACGCACACTTCCATTTGCAATCACTGATCAAAGACTCTGTCCTACGGGCCAGGTTCTTATCTTCGAACCTTTAGCGAAACTCATTGCGTTCCCTGCCATGCACAATCTTCCCATTAGCACCCGGTCCCAGTACGGAATCTTTTGTGCATACAGGTATGTACCCATTGCCGCCTCCCAGTGGAAAATACTTTTTCTTCCCCGTATAGGTCCAAGGCAACTTCACTTTCATCTTTTGCCTGGATTCCTCCGCTTCTCCATCCTTCTTTCTCAACTCCCTTTCCTTTCCTGTCCCCACCATCACCATCATCGCCTCTGTCTCCTCCCCCCCCACCATTCTTCAACTGCTTTAACACGGCGGGGTCTTTAAGTTTCTGACAGAGAGCTTCATCTAACAACTCCACATAACTGTGGACTCACGAGTCTATCTGTGGCGACGCATTATTCAAGAAACTGTTCAAAGTATCTACAAATTCCCCCTGTTGTGCCTCTACTTTGTTAACCGTTTGGTGGAGTACGGCGAGCTGACCATTGGTATGGAGGAGGGAGTCAATGAGGAGGGTTAGTCTCTCTTCTACTCCAACCTGCTTCCCTTTTTGCTCCTGCAGCAACTTCCGTAATCTTTCCCCCTCCTCTTTCATCTTCTTTTCCGCATCAAACATTTCTCTTCTCCATCACCATGCGATTATGCAAGTCTGCCCTTCTCTCCTCCACGAACAATTGTTTTCCTGCCTCATCATGTACTTCCGACAACAGTTTGAGGAAAGCCCCTTCTCTGCCTCTCTCTATTGGCAGCTCCTCCCGAAATCCGAACTGACCTAGCCAGTCCATAGCTTCGAGTTGGCGCATCCGAATGCCGCCCATTTGGCTGCTCTCAGCTTGTTTTTATTGCTGTTGGCCTCTTCTTCTTTCCAGCTTCTCTCCTTCTTCCTCCACTTCTTCCTCTTCTTCTATGCCTTCTACTCCTCCATCACCCTTCTTTCTTTCTCTTCATGGCCGCCCTTCTCCTGAACCTCCCTCTCCATCTGTTGCTTTTTTTCTTGTAATTTCCTCTTTAGTTCTCCTCCTTTTTCTTTATCTTCTCTTCTCTCTTCTCTTTTCTCTGCTAGCCGGCGGTCTATTTCTGCCTACTCTTCGGCTGAATGCACCTGTGTTGACTTCCCAGACCTCATGGTGGTGTAACAGACAGAGGTGCGTTGGAAGTCAAGAGGAAAGAGGAACCGGAACAACGGGGCCCAAAGTACAGAAGGCCAGAATCAAAAACATGGGGTAGTGATCCATGGTGACTAGAAGCACAGGAAAGCGACCTCCACCTCCTCACCACTTAAGACCTAACCCCAACTACTAATTTAGTAACTCACGAGTGGGTCTGACTGTTGCTGACTGCTGAATACCTCCCTAGAACTATCTATGTATACACTTTTTTTTTTTTTTTTTTCCAAGGAGTGGACTGGTTCTGGACTAAAGGCAGATCGAATATGTGGTACCAATCACCAAGACAAATCAGCAAGCAAACAGGTTTAATGGGAATACACTTCACTCCAATGAACGTTCCGTTGATGAAGCTCCATGGCCGCTCCAACGCAGCAGCAACAGGTACGTAACCAAGCCACTTCTTCTTCAGCCTACTTCTTCCCCCTTTCGTCAGTCTTCTTCCCACTCAACTCTCTTTCTCATCTCCCTTCTCGTTGGCCTTAATCGTTGCCAGCGATGACCAGTGAGTGCAGCGAGCAACTGCGCCGATACCAGTTTGCAATGAACCTCCTAGTTCAACACCAGTGAGCGCACACATTCACACCTCATGCATATATGAGATCACACGTAGTTCACACTGAAGTTCAGAGAGATTAGACCAGATAACGCAGCTTATGTATTCCAATAAGACATTACAAGAGCATTGAGAGCTCAAGTCACCAGCGCACATCACCGCATGCCAAAGGTAAACAGTAACCAGCATAGACTCTCAGGTAAGTATCTCTTCTTCTCTCTTGTGTATCTCCTCTCCTTTCTGGTCTCCTCTCTAGCTATGTCCTCGCTGCATCTTCTCTCCCTACATGCATGCACTCTCACTAACTTCTACTAAAGGCTCTACTCTGAATACACCCACTGATAAGCCTGCTAACTAACTGAAGTCTACTACTATCACTCTGCACTGGCGCAACTATGGCTGCCTTCTCCCTGCCAGTGCTAACACTTCTTCTCTCTCTCTCTCTCTCTCTCTCTATCTCTCTCTCTCTCTCTCACATAGCGCAGCACTCTGGCTTCAGCGCTCTGCCCCTCGCTACAGCGCACAAGTGCTCCAGCACTTCCACGCTTCTTGCGAAGGAGCAATCTGACCAAATGGGAGGCTGGCCACAGTCCGTCTGTAGTCTTGGTTTGCACTTCAACTCGTGCTAGCCTCTGTTTCCTGGGGCCTGACTGGGTTCCCATAGCACATCCTTTCGGCCTGTCTGCTTCTGAATGTCAAGGCCTGGAACCTTTACGAATTTCCATAGGTCTGCTGCTGCTTGGGCCTTAGAGTCGTGACTTTTTGAATTTTGCATATGGTTTTGACTGTGGATTGTGACTCCTGCCTCTGAGATACGACTTTTGCCTATGGGTCTGCCCTTGTAAATGTTTCTACTGTCAAAGAACCAAATTTCATTCGTGGGATGTGCCTCGTCAATATGACTTTTCATTATGAAACGTGACTCTTGCCCCTAAGATGTGTCTGTTTGATGGTTGCCTGTTGGACTGGACTGCTGAGGTACCAGACTGTGACTTTTCTGAATTTGACGAACTCGGCCCCTCTTGACCAGGCCTCTGACCCTGAGACCCAAATTTGGGGTCTGAACCGTGGAAGGCCTTTCACTGGTAGCCTAGCAGCAATGTTAACTCACTTGCATAGCCATTCAGAAGAGAGTTCCCACTAAGATAACAGATTCAGCGGTGGGTGCTTCTACATGAGCTTCAGCTAACCAAATATGAACTGGTTTGGTAGTTACTTTCACTGCAAAAGATGCAAAGAAAAGCAATCCATAGCAATACTTGACGTCGTCCGCTAAATTCTGTTGTTAAACAACCACTACCTTTCACAGGAAAACGCCAAGTCCAGCTAGTAGCCTACTCCTTGAAACACAGGGCTCGTCACAGGGTTGGAGGCCGACGAAATTAAAAAAGAAAAAATGAAAAAAAATAAAATAAAAAAATGAAAGTTTCAAATCCAGGGATATCGGGGAAGGCCCTCACAAGGGTGGAAGTTGCAGAGGCCTTTGAACAATGCCCGGGACATTTTTGTAATTTTGCTCCAAGTTCTAAGTCCTAACCGGTAATTGAACCTGAGCCTAAACCGACTGGGACTTTCTGCAAATTCCCTAAACTGCTGTCGAAACGGTACTCGACCTAAACTTGATGCAGGCCTACACTGATTGCCACACGATAATTGGCCCGAATTGGTAGCACATTTGGGAGTCTCGTTTTTTTTCCAGTTTTCCTTTTCTTACGAGCAGTGGCCCTAAGGGCCTCGCTCCACCCATCAGCACTTGCACAAAGGAAAAACATATGGCTTGTATGGTTCCAGTTTCTAGGAAAAGATTCATTCTAGTTTTGCACATTTGGTGAGTAGTGGAGTGAAGCCCTCAAAATCACACGCCGAGTTAGTAAGTCAGTAACCCATGACTGCGGAAACACGGACCTGAATTTGAAACTACACCATATATACCTGGCCTGCTCCCTCCTTACTACAAGCCCAGCGGACCATTCTTCTCATGCTGACAAGGTCCTTGCTAACTTTTGGCAGGGACCTTATGAAGTAAGGGCAGGGGTTCTCTGAAAAATGTGAAAGGGTTCTTTGCTCTCTCTCTCTCTCTCTCTCTCTCTCTCTCTCTCTCTCTCTCTCTCTCCAGTGTGTATACAGCGCACCTCATGTATGCACTGCAAATATGATCCATATATGTGCTGTTCACGTTAGAAGCTGCCATATCACCTTCGTCGCTAAGTAACATCAAACAAATGCAACAGAAGTCAACATCAGAACGCTAAGGCCCATCTTCCCTAAGTCACTTCAACTAAAGCAACAGAAGTAAACTGTCCTTCAGGACATCCGTTAAAATTGGAAAGATACAGAGAAGATATGCATGGCCCCTGCGCAAGGATGACATGCATAAATCGAGCGATGGTCCAAAAGACTCCAAATTAAAAAAAAAAACAGAAAACAGGTCCATAAAGCCCGGAAGAAGACGAAATCTCACCTCCTCGTAGCTTAGTTCCAGAGGCAAATCCTGTGCGTCAATTTCTCCATGTGTGAACACAGATGCTAGCTGGCTTTGGCCTAATGAGATAGGATATAGTTCTTTAACACCAAAGCCAATTTTCTCTCTCACACGAGGTACCGAAAATTGCTGCATGATTGTCCCGCCGCCAACCGCCGGCACTTGCTGAAGCTCTGAAGATATCTGACAAAACCCAATGCATACGACACGGAATAGAGGGAAGGGAGATCAGACGAACATATCATGTGACCAAGGCAGCTATATAGATTGCACCAGAGCTGGGCCAGCAACCGGCCGGATCACGTGCCCCGGTCCAACCGGGGCCGGACCGGTCCAGGGGGGGTGAACCGGCAAAACRGGATGCCCCCAGCAAATGGCCAGATCTTTTTTTTTTTTTTCTGATTGCTGCATCCGACTGCGCTCGCTGAGATGTGCCGGATTCCGCAATAAAATTTGCAAAGTCAGGAATTTCTTCGGGGGCGGGTGGGATTGGGGGGGGGGGGGGGGGGGGGGTAGGGGGGTGGGGACAGGTTTTATGGCAGCATCCGACTGCGCTTGCTATGGCTATGGCTCAGGCTCAATGGGGAGGAGGAGGAGGAGTAGAAGAAGAAGAAAGGAGGAGGAGAAGAAGAAGAAGAAGAAGAAGAAGAAGAAGAAGAAGAAGAAGAAAGGAGGAGGAGGAGGAGTAGGAGTAGAAGAAGAAGAAAGGAGGAGGAGGAGAAGAAGAAGAAGAAGAAGAAGAAGAAGAAGAAGAAGAAGAAGAAGAAGAAGAAGAAGAAGAAGAAGAATCCGAGATGGCAAAAAAACAAATCGGTATCGCTATGGCTCGGGCTCAACGGGGAGGTAGGAGGAGGAGGAGGAGGAGGAGGAGAAGAAGAAGAGGAGGAGGAGGAGAAGTAGAAAAAGGAGGAGAAGAATCCAAGATGAAAAAAATATATATATCGCTACCGCTACGGCGCGGGCTCAACGGGGAGCTAGGAGGAGGAGGAGAAGAAGAAGAAGAAGAGGACGAGGACGAGGACGAGGACGAGGAGGGAAAAAGGTGAAGAAGAGGGCGAGGAGAAGAACAAGAAGAAGATGCGGAGGAGGGAAACAGATGATGAGTATGAGGAGGAGGAAGAGAAGAAAAAGAGGAAGAAGAAGAAGAAGAAGCGGAGGAGGAGGAGGAGGAGAAGAAGAGGATGAGGAGGGAAAAAGATGAAGAAGAAGAGGACGAGGAGGAGAACAAGAAGAAGAGGGAAGTCATGAGGACGAGGAGGAGGAAGAGAAGAAGAAGAAGAAGAAGAAGAAGAAGAAGAAGAAGAAGAAGAAGAAGAAGAGGAGGAGGGAGGAGGAGAAGAAGAAGACGAAGAAGAGAAGGAGGAGGAGGAGGAGGAGGAGGAGGAGAAGAAGAAGAAAAAGAAGAAGACGAGGAGGAGCGCTGGTGGACTTACCTTCGTGGCTATGGGGAGCTGTTGCGACAAAGCGGGCTGGCGGGGCGAAGCAGCTGCACACAGAGGTTGATGGCGGGCTGGAGACGGGACGCTGGCACTGGTCGTGTGGTGGCAGCACACGATGTCGACGTGCATGCTGAATGGCACGACGTCAACGTTGTGTGATGTTGCTGTAGCATGGGGCAGGCGGGGCGGAGGGGTGGAGGCAGCGCAAAACCACGCTGCGATTCACATTTCAAAATGCGGCTGATTTCGGGCGCAGATCTGTGGTCGACATCGACCACGTTTTCAAATTTGAAAACGGGGCCCTACCGGACCCCCTTTTTTTTGGAAACACGCGGCCGATCTCCACTGTCGATCTGCGCCGATCGCAGGTTGGCCGCGCGTTCTCAAAACAAAACGGGGTCCGGTAGGGCCCATTTTTCTTTTTCACTTGTGGCGACGGCCTCCCAGAGGCTGGGTGGGGACGGGGACGCCCGAAAATCCCCCGTACAGCCCCCTGAAAGGAGTGCGCCAAATCGAACCAGGGACCTGCCGGGCCAGTGAACCACCCGGTTGGACCGGTAGGCTCCCGGTCGGTCGAAGGTCCCCCGGTCCATCCGGGGACCAGCACTGGATTGCACGGATTTTTTTTTCAAAGAACAAAAAAATAGAATCCATACTTTCAAGCACACGGTGTGCGAGCATTCGTGTATGCGGCGTACCCAATGCGCTGCCGCACTCTGCTCGGCAGACTCTATTTGCACACACCACAAAAAATGAAAACAAAACAAAAGAAGATTAGAAATGGATGACCGTTGTGCCCGCCCGGCATGTAAAACATCCGGGATTTTTATTTTCTTATTTCCTTGGTGGGGCGTTTCCACGCACAGCGAAAGAAGCCCAAATCCAGGCTCTTTCATATGTTTCTTGATATCGGGTTTCAAGGACGGAGGATGCTGACAGGATATGGCGACGGGGTAGAGAATGACTCAGAGTACCGCAAAGAGACTGCATACAGGAATATGAAACAATGTCTTCTCTGTTACTCCCTCTTTCTCCGTCTCTGTGAACACTGTCTGACAGTTTATAGCACCAAACTCCACAAACCAAACACAAAACAGAGACAGTGCCACTTGGTCGAGTTCACACATAAGCAGCAGAGGGAGTAGACGAAGAAGGATTCTTCGAAGATGAAATCTGGAACAACAAAACAAGAGAGGGACCCGGATCTCTAACATCACTCATTGTCAACTTCCCATCATTGGCATCACCGCTGTTGTCATAGCCCACTGTTGAATCATCACCAATGATCTTTGGCCTTCTCCTTCCCCCTGAATGTGTCTCGACCAGGAGGCCTTCACGTGCTGGTGCATTGAGCGACTTCCATGACCGTTCCCCTCCCCTCTTGGTTGTGCCAACTGCAGCAGGTGCTGCCATCTT